CACCGTACGCATTTCTAGAGCCATGCTGTCCTTCACACCGCACTGGCAATGTAAAGGAGCTTTCCCCCGCCTAGCTCCTCAGCACCCGCCTGAGCACGCTGCACTAGCAAAAAAGAGGGACAGAGTCTGTCTCTCTCACATGCATGACTGCCAAGCCCCCCGCCCCGGCCATCCCTCGACTCCAGGAGCCCAAAACAACCTGCCTGTGCTGCCGGAGAGGGGCGAGTGACCCCTCTTGCGGCTTCCCTTTGCTTCCCCATCAGAATTCATTTTTCTGCAGGGAAACAAAGAAATCTGTGGGGACATGAATCCGATGAAGAATTTCCCCAGGAGTTTATTTAGCATCTTTTCTGACAAGCAGGTAAAAGGCAGCAACTAGCAGGTTAAGCAAACAGAAGAAACGAAACGCTGGGGGAGGCGTCACAGGCAGCCACAAGGACACAAAGAAAAGGACAGACTGAAGAAACAGGAGCTGAACACAAAGTGAGATTTAACACAGGAGAGCGAAGGCAAGTCCAGACAGAGGAGGACACTGGGCAGTGACTTGGAGGTGCTTGTTACAGGGTAGCAAAGAAAAGGGCAACACGTGCTATTGGATTCGGAGATGCTTTTGGACAGTGGTGCCCCATCACTATGCAGGGAGCTCTATGGCTGGAGCACAGAACACTACGCCCAATTCTGAGCAACCTGGTACCAGAAAGACAGAACCATAAAATCACAGAACACTAGAACTGGAAGGGACCTTGACAGGTCCTTGAGTCCGGTCCCCTGCCCTCACGGCAGGACCAAGCACCGTCTAAGACCATCCCTGATAGACGTCTGTCTAACCTGCTCTACGCTATCTCCAGGGATGGAGATTCCACAATCTCCCTAGGAAACTTATTCCAGTGTTTAACCGCCCTGACAGTTAAGACGTTTTTCCTGTCGTCTGATCTAAACCTCCCTTGCTGCAGTTTAAGCCCCTTGCTTCTTGCCCTATCCTCAGAGGCCAAGGAGAACAAGTTTTCTCCCTCCTCTCTTTTAGATACTTGAAAACTGCTCTCATGTCCCCTCTCAGTCTTCTCTTATCCAAACTAAACAAGCCCAGTTCTTTCAGTCTTCCCTCCTAGCTCATGTTCTCTAGACCGTGAATCAGTTTTGTTGCTCTTCTCTGGACCTTCTCCAAATTCTCCACATTTGTCTTGAAACGTGCTGCCCAGAACCGGACACAAGACTCCAACTGAGGTCTAATGGGCACAGAGCAGAGCGGAAGAATGACGTCTCGTGTCTTGTTCACAACACTCCTGTTAATGCCACCCAGAATCATGTTTGCTTTTTTTGCAGCAGTGATACAAACAAGATGGAGGGAATCTAGAGAGCAAAGGGAATTTGAGATGGGCGAGAGAGTTGACTCACAAAGTAAGGTTACATATTCTACATATGGCAGGGCTAAACAACAACTAGAAGGGACTATAACAACGGTTTGCAAATGACCACGGGTGCAGCGTCGGGCTGAGAAGGGAATTCCAGCAGGGATGGGAAGAGAGGGGACGGGAGGCCATGCCCCCATCACTTTTACAGGTCGGGGGGGTGGGACCTTGGGCGGGGAGTGGGTGGGCCACGTGCCCCGCTTTTAGGGTGCTTTCTCCACTCCTGATTCTGGCATCTGCAGTGAGGTGTGGAGGCAGTCGAGTGAGCACAGGAAAACGTAGGGTGAGACTGCTCAGGTGACAAAGGAAGTGGTGACCCACAGAGCGTTAGACAGAGCACTGAAGACCTGGGGAACGAACCTGCATTAAGCTTGGGATGCTTTTAAGGGAGGAGAATAAGAGAGCTTAGTAACTCAAGAGAACGGTTCCAGCTCCAACAGCTATGGAAACGAGAATGCTTATGGCCAACAGAGTTGCAGCAAATGGAAAGCAGCTGGATGAAAAGCCCGGGGCAGGGACAGCAACACAGACACCGGCGCAAAAGGCAGCAAAAAGAGAGAAGCAGCGACAACGTGGGCGGCAAAGCAAAGAAATAATTTCTGTTGCCATCTATTATAATTATAATCCATCAGAACGCAGTGCCACCTGGGGCTCTAGGATATTAACAGCCGTACTGCGCACAGCCGGGGGCCTGCTGTATTTCCCCTTTCAATAAGCAATGTGAAGAAGTCGGAAGGCGCTCGCATTAATGTGCACCGGGGCTGGATTTCCTGGGTAGCCGTTCAAATGATTTAGTAGGAAATGAGTGACACGTCCTTGGGAAAACACTGTCCCCCATGGAGCAGGGTTGGCTATTTCTAGTCAGCTCCTTTCAATCTCTCTCCACTGCCGTGGAGACGGGTGGACTCGTTTCACTCCTCAAACCCAAGTCACAAGCCCCGCTGAGCACCCGCGTCCTCAAGCAGTTAGCTCCCTGGAGAGCCTGAACTCTCCTCAGAGGGCCACCAACAGGGACGTGGCTAGAAATTCACTGCCGGATGCCGACGGTTTCCTCCAGGCACATTTTTGCAGTTGCCACCATATGGTCCCTTGGGTGAACACTACATGAGTGTTGGGAGCCTCTGCCCATCTTTTCAGGGCGAGGCACGAAGGGGGGGGACAAGTCAAGCATGAACTCAGGGTAACCTTCTGAACAGGCCTTGGCAAAATATGGCCTGCGGGCAGGATCCGGGCAACCAAATCCGGGCGGATCTGGCCCGCAGAGGCAGCGGGGAGGCAGAGGCAGGCTCCCCTGCTTGCCCGCAGAAATGTGGCTGCGGGCTCCCTGCCTGTTTTGAAACTGGAGAGAAGGGGGGAAAAGTTTTAGGAGCCACCCCGCCCCAGATAAAAAGAACCCCCCCCCCCTCTCCTGGGCTCAGTTATTCATGAAGCACCCCCATGGAGGCTGGCTAGGAAACGTTTTGGCTACGTCTACACTGCAGGCTTTTGCAGGCAAAGTGTGCTCAAACGACAGCGCAACAAATGCTACTGAGCACTTCATTAGCATACTGTCTGCTGGAAAAGCCTGCAGAGGAGATATAGCATTTAAGTCTGCAGGCAGGAGTTTTTGCACAAAAACAAGCCGTGGAGACGGGTCCGTTTTGCGCAAAAAACCCCTCGTGCAAGATCCCTTATGCCTCAAGAAAGGAGGGAGACAGGATCTTGCGCAAAAGGGTTTTTTTGCGCAAAACGCATCGGCAGAGATATGCCAACGACAGCGCAACAAATGCTACTGAGCGCTTCATTAGCGTACTCTCTGCTGGAAAAGCCTGCAGAGGAGATATAGCATTTAAGTCTGCAGGCAGGAAGGCAAGTTTGGCAGCTGGCAAGTAAGTCTCTTGGCCACCGCCTGCTTCTGGCATCCCAGCCCTTTCCTGCCCCAACTCTCTGTCTCCCCCCACCACACAACATACCCAAACCCTCTGTCCCCCTCTTACACTCATACCCCCTCCCAGATCTGGCACCCCAATCTCCTGCCCCAGATCTCAATCCCCTCCTACCTTAGGGCACATCCCATACCCCTGCACTCCAGTCCCCTGCCCTCGGTCACAACCCTGCCTCATCCCAACTCCCTCCCAGACTCCAGTCTCGCTCCTGTACCCCAGTCCTTACCCCAGGTTCCCTTCTGCACCCAACCTCTATTCCAGACCCCGCATCTCCATTCATATCAGGGAAGAACGTGGCCCTCGACCACTTTCAAAAATCTTGGAGTGGCCCCTCCCGTCAAAAATTATCGCCCACCCCTGCTTTAGAATCACAGAACCCTAGAACTGGAAGGGACCTTGAGAGCCATCAAGTCCAGGCCCCTGCCCTCATGGCAGGACCCAGCACCGTCTAGATCATCGCTGATAGATGTGTATCCAACCTGCTCTTAAATATCTCCAGTGATGGAGATTCTACAATTCCCCTAAGTAATTTATTCCAGTGTTTAACCACACTAACAGTTAGGAACTTTTTCCTAATCTCCAACCTAAACCTCCCTTGCTGCAGTTTAAGCCCCTTGCTTCTTGTTCTATCCTCAGAGGCCCAAGAGAACCATTTCTCTCCCTCCTCCTTGTAACACCCTTTTAGATACCTGAAAACCACTATCATGTCCCCTCTCAGTCTTCTCTTTTCCAAACTAAACAAGCCCAATTCTTTCAGTCTTCCCTCCTAGCTCATGTTTTCTAGATCTTGAATCATTCTTGTCGCTCTTCTCTGTACCCTTTCCAATTTCTCCCCATCTTTCTTGAAATGCGGTGCCCAGAACTGGACACAAGACTCCAATGGAGGCCTAACCAGCACCGAGTAGAGCAGAAGAATGACTCCTTGTACCTTGTCTTAGGCAGCCGTCAATCCCAAGGTGCTTATTGGGATAAATCAAGACCTTTTATCCTACAATTAACATTGAAGGTTCTCGCTGCTGCAGTCTCCTTTTATACAAAAAAGTGAATGGTCTGAGATCAAACTCCTCCTTCTTAATCTGCAAGTGGGGCCCACCAATGCACGGTATTGCAGACTCTGCAATACAAAGCTTTCACTGCCGTTTCAACAGCAGCGGTCCCTGCTCTCAGCCACGCACGGCTGACAGTGGAAAAACAACAATGGGCCTCAACGCAGCCAATCAGGTGGCGGACATGCCATGGAAAAGTAACAATCATCCCCCCGTTCACGTAAAGGCATTCAGTGCCAGCGAGAGCTGCTGGACTGAAGGCCTTTGAGCGCACAACGAAGAGCAGACCAGCAAGTTTCCAACACACCCTGCACCTCACTAGCATGTCTCCAATCCTGACCTGGAGGAACTAGCTCGGGGGGTAGCTAAGTCTCCATGACCAACCTCATTTTTTGGCCTGCTTACAGGTGGGGCCCAGCTGTGGCTGTGTCGGTCTCACCTGCTACGGACTGGATCGAGAAAGCAAACAAACAGTTTCACACTAGCAGCTGCTAGGAGGCCTGATGGCTCTCTGACCGCTTCCAGCCTGGGCTGGACCTGAAACAGCCTCGTGGACGGTGCCCTAAGCCGCCCGAGCAGGCTCGTTTATCACTGGCCTGCGCTCCAGGGGATCGACTTACGAGAAGGGAGATCACTGTACTGGAGTAGTAAGCCAGGTCTTCGATGATTTCGGTACGGCGGTTGGCGCCAATGCGCAGCGATCGGCTATGAACCTCCTCTGGCAGCACCGTGAGGATCTCCAGCAGAAAGGGCAGTGATGTCACGTCATTGCTGTACCTGCAGCAGAGGGAGGGGCAGAGGAGTGAAACGGCAGGAGAAGAAAGGGGGTTGCCAGCACGCACAGTATCGAACGGGAGGCGCGTCTAAGCACCTTTAACACCCCAGCCGGAGAAGCGGAGAGGAATCTCCCAGACAGATTCAGGGCAGGTGTCTGAAACCACGTGGCAAATGTTCGGCTACAAAACAAACGAGCATCAGAGCCCCAGATTCAGGGCTTAGTTCTCATAGCAACCTTCCCGACAGTGTGACGCGCATGCGAGAGGCGGTGCCCTGTGTGGATCCTGCTTTGAGCACTAGTTACAGGGACAGTACTCGGCCCTTGCAGAAGGCGAAGGGAACATCTGGCAGTGCTAACCAGCTACTGCCGCGACCAGCTAAGATGCAGCATTAACTGGCGGGAAACTGCAGCCCAACCCGAAACCAGAAGGCCGACAGCCACGTGCATGAGAAAGGGCTTGTAAAGCAATACAGAAACGGAGGGGAGAAAGGCTTCGACCGGCGCCCCAAAGGCTTTAGACACAGATTCCTGCCGCACTCTTCTGTATCCGTGCACACAAGTGCAGCCGGGCTTTCAGATCATTACCTTCGCTTTCGCATTCTCATTGGCTACGTCTTGCAGGAGCCGAGGGATCTGTTGGTTAATATTTTGATAAAACTTAAGGATATAAAACCAATACTTACTTTTCCACCAGTGTGTGTACACTGCCTTTCCAAGAAGCCATTTGCAGGGCGAGATCTGCTATTGCTAATGCGAGCTACAACGCAGGGGAGGAAAAAAAAGAACAAGACTAAGACCAGTGCTACACACATGATGTGCCCCATTAGTACTGCTAAGCAGGAAGAAAAGCATCCAGATCCGGTCGACAATGAGGGGAGAAGTCAGGCCCTCTGAGAAGTGAAGCCAGGCCCTACAGCTCTCCCCACAATCCCACGAGGACTCTCTCAGACCAGGAACCAAAGTATTATTGTTCTGCTGTGGAAGTCATGACAACGCTCACCACCCCATGCACCAGCCCATGGGGAAGGCAGGGGCTGTAGGAAAGCACAACTTCTCACCCATGGCTATCCAATTTACAGGGAGCAGCGTGGGACCTCTCCTGTCTAAAACCTGCCAGGCTGTTATTGGTCAGACGTATTGCAGAGCATGTATCTCCTTGGAACTCAGTGCCAGGCACAGCCTACCGACAGGTAACTGTCTCACCTCTGGCAAGCGGAGGGGTCACAGGTGTGCGACTCACCTGTCGGTATGAGACCTGCACCTCCCACCCACTTGTAAATTATATCCGTCCTGGATGGCCAACCACCTTCTCCACGGTGGCAAACCTTCCCCCAGGTGTCTCTCACTCCAGTGCCTAGACACTTAAGCAGTCCCTGCCAGGTTATTTGCATTTCATTTGCAACGGACACGTACAGTCCCTCCGCTAGCAACAGCTTTCACTCTGGCCCCACCTGGCCCACGCAGAAGTCATATGAACATCCCCCCTGACTTCAACCAGCGCAGGATTAGACCCTTCAGGCTGATCGAGAGCCAACAGCTAGCGGGGTGGATTTCGACTTCAGCAAGTGCTCTGCAGTAACACGCAGGAGAGCTGAGTTAACAGCAAGGAGGAAGAATTAGGTTTTCAGTATCTAAGGTGAACCCAGCCCTGGGGAAATGGTAGCACCTCCCACTTGAGGCCTTCTAGTTGCCAAGGGCGTTTGGATGTGTAATTCAGTGTTGTTTGCGTAGCTGAGCAGGGAACAGATCCTGGAAAAGCTGCGCCCATCACCCTCCCAAAGCAACACAGAGAGGGGTAAAATAATTAACGCTCCGAATCCCTGCTGCTTTGATCGTTGGACAAGAAACAAGACAACTCAGCTGAGCCCACGTATGGAGAAACTGCTCTGTCTGGGGGTAAAGGGCTTTGATTGTCCTTGTCTTGCACCACGCTAAACCAAGCACAGCCAGGGAGCATGATGTTGGATTTCTGAAAGCCAGGAGAGAAAACCTTTAGGTGGCAACGATTAACGTCACTGTTTTGTGTCCTTTTCCGGAAATAAGGCACAGAATGGAGCTGGAAGGGCAGTGATGGGTGTTACAACACCACGTCCACAACACAATATCTGATTAAGATACTGAATTATTCACCCGTTATCACAGGAAAGTGGCACGGGACTGGGCTGAAAAATTCTCCCGCTCTGGGGAGGAACACAAGGCTTACCTGAGTTACAATGACGGGTGACAGGTCTTTCAAGTTCTGGATGTGGGACAGTAACGAGTCCCGCAATGAAGCATGCGAGTCTGTGGGGAGTTCATAGAACGAGGTCTGGATCTTCATTTTCATGGTCTGGGCTGCAAAGTAGCATGATTCCACATCCTGCCGGATCTGTAGCAACTGGTCTGAGATCTCCCACGCATGGACCTAAAGGCAGAATGGAACATTGCCAAGAGGCAGAGAACGACGCGGACTAGATCTTGGAGCAGCTAAGCATTTATCGCCGGGCTCAACAACCGCAAGTTTGCAAAAGGAAGACCCCAGAATTCCTGCCATTACAACCCCCTTCTTCGCAGGGAGACCTCAGCCGGGACTCCCTCCGCATCAGTCTCCTAGCAGAGGCTGGTTTCCGGAGACGCCAGGCCTGAGGACAACGACAATCGCCTTCCCCTGAAGGTAAGAGCAGAGCATGCAGCTGCCGCGGGAACACGTTCATGTCTCCCGTTACCAGGCGACTCTGGGGAAGAACTGGAGTCCGCTTTGCCAACAGACCTTGGTTTAAACATGCAAATGCTTACAGCTGTTCTCAAGCTGCGGTCACTGCCACTTCTTGCAGTTGGGAATCATTCTGATTTCAGCTGCAGAAGGCTACACTAGCCTTTCACCCACATCACCATGCAGCGGGGCTGGGCAACCTGCGGCCCATCGGGGTTCTACGTGTGGCTGCACACAACGTTTTCTTTACCGCTGCCCACGTCAGCTGCCAGTGGGAGCCACGCATCCCATCAAAACGCCGCAATCGGCACAACCTGCAAATTCCCCTAATCCAGGAGACTCTTGCTTACGACTGTCAAGCCCACGGAGCTGAAGGAAGACCACTCATGCGGCCTACTCTCGAGCCTAGGTTGCCCATCGCTGCCATACAGCCTGAAGCTCTAGTTACCTGGGACTATCCAGAGTACAGCTTCAGGCTCCGAGCTGGTCCCTGCAATTTAACAAATGACTAAGAACTGCCCCTGAGCGGCGGATAGCTAACTGAAGCCATTTCGTGGGGATGAGGCAGGAAGGGAGAGAACAGAAAGGATGTGAAAATATTTTCGGGACAATCATTTGCAGTTAAACTTTAGATCTGCAAACGAGACCGGAATCCAGCTCGCACACCAACGACAAAACCCATCTGACTAGGAAATAACGAGGCAGCTAGGGCAGCCTTACAGAATAATCGTGATATCCAGGTAAGCTGGGACTCTACTACAGCCGAGCCAGGTGCAAAGCTACACTATTACGAACAACTAGATCATCCCAGACACGTATGTGTCTAACCATAGCTCCAGCGATGGAGATTCCACAACCTCCCTAAGCAATTTATTCCAGTACTTAACCACCCTGACAGTTGTAGTAAGATGAAGGCCTAAAACATAAGCCAATGCAGCACTGGCCTGGTCTGAAGCCTGGCTACCAACGGACAAAACATGGCTAGCTTAAAGCAAAGCTAAGGTGTGAGCAAGAGGCAGGCCCCTGCTCACAGAACTTGGCACAAACAGGGCTGAGAGAGCAAAACACTAATTGCTAATAGGCCCAGGTTCAGAACAGTCACTGGTACTGGTCATAAGTTGAAATCACATAGTACCACCAGCTCATTAAAAAAAAACCCTTGGTACCTACTCCTCACAGACACAGACCCAGGGTAAGGAAAGGGTCTAAAGTGACAGCATGATGGAGAGAGATGATCAAAACAAACCATACAGCAGAGGGTGGCAACCTGATACGTCAGCAGTGAGGTACAATTTGTTTGTACCTGTATATAAAGTGGTGTCTTGGGGGGACAGTCTTCTTATGATGTAGGGGGCAGTGGAAATTTCCCACTGATTGAGTCATTCCGTTGTGGCAAGTACATGTGCGTGGTGGTTCAGGAGAGTCTACTGACAACTGCGACTGTACTTTGCTTAACAATAAATCTGGCCTGGCACCTTCCATCCTCATCTGGTTTGTGGTCTTTGGGCCAACACGCAAGCAGCCTTTTGGTTATCATCATCAATGGAGCCAGAGGCCTGTGAGGACACCGCGGCAGTAAATCCTGACCCCACCTGAATATCTACAATATCTAGACACAACACGCGTTAAGGACAGTTTCATCCTTTGCTTTGACTTCTCTGGGTTTCGTAGCTTTAAGACAAGTTCTCTCTAGTGCAGTTACTCCGCAGGACTTTCATTTCATTCCAAACACAGGTCTCTACTCCCCTTCCATGCATCATCCAGTCGGCTCTTTCAGGCCATTTGCCCAAAAGATCTTTGTCTCCAACACCAAGCTGACACTGCTCTAAAGCAGTGGTTCTTAAGCTGTGTTCCATGGCACACCGGTGTGCCGCGAGGCAGTCGGATGTGTGCCATGGAGAACAATAGAATTCAAAATGGCCACCCTTAAAAGGGGCAGGCAACCTTTTCCCCCGCCCGAATAATCCCCCTCCCCCCACAAACTTTTTTTTTTCGCTCAACAAAAAAATCCTTGCTGTTCCCCATAAAAAAAATTGCTTGGTGTTCCTCAGTCTTAAAAAGATTAAGAAACACTGCTCTAGTGGCTTTCATGCTCAGTTCCCCTGCAGCTGACGAAAGCGATAGCTTGGACAGGGCCCTGTTCCTTTTCAAAGCGAACTGAAGAGGCCCGAAGCAATTCCGTTCCTTTTCAAAGCGAACTGAAGAGGCCCAAAGCAATTCCTAGCGATTCTGGATGAGATTTATGGACCTCTCAGGTGTTGTCTCCCTTAAACCAGATGTCTGTGCCGTTTGAAAGTTCTTGATCTTGTGTTACGTCTTTTCCAGCTGCTATATCCATCGGTGACAAAAATCTACTGCACACATTTTCTCTCCAAACCCCAGCTATCATTATACGAAAGGCCTTGCCCATGCCTGTCTGAACTAGCAAAAAACAGGCTCCAAAATGGTTCTAGTTTAACAATACTTGACTAGTGTCTGTAGACACAACTCTACCCTAGCAGCTGCTTCCAGCCCAGTTTGGAAAGCCAAGGGTAAGTAGCTGTAAACAAATCACGCCAGACTCCCAAGGTAATCTAAACAAGAGATGCCAACAGCAGTCCATGGCTCACCAATGGTCTGCAAAGTTCTTGGTCATCTGTAGGATTCAATACAGAGCACTGAGTAATGGGAGAGACTGGAAAGTTGGGAGAGGGTCAACAGAGGGTCTTACCGCAGGACCACACAGTAAAAAGGCTGGAGAACCTACTGCATGATTGACAGGTTTAGTTTAGTCTAACAAGACTACATGTCTGTGTTTAGAAAGGCTTCCAATTTAGTAAGAAAGGGCCCAGACGTGGGGACGCACGAGGCATTAACACGTCTGAATTAACTCCAGTATATCTAGAAATTACATAAATTCTTCCCAGTCCGCTCCCCCATGGAGACAGATCTCATCACGTTTCCTGGCCCATAAAAGAAACTTAAAAACCAAACTGAAATGTAATTATGGAAATGCCTTAAAGGGACACCAACTGGGGGGGGGGAGGTCACAATTTTCAGTCTACAATGGCCAGAACAAACATTGCCGATCGCTGCCATCAGCAAAAGTGTCTGTCTCCATTTGCTTACTTTGTGCATCCCATTAAACCAGGGGTCTCCAGCCAGTCGACTGGGATCTACTGGTCGATCTTGGAGCCTCTGACGGGATCCTGACTGGTTTGGCCAAGAGGCTCTCAAGTGCCAGCGCTTCAACTGCTCCTCCCCCTACTGCTGCCCCTCTCTGCAGGGCAGGGCAGGGCAGGGGAGGGAGAAGAGGGTTCTGATGTCAAGGTGCCCCCTCTCCCAACCTGTATCCTATCTCCACAGAGCAGGGCTGGGGGCACAACAGGACTTGGGGTGGGCTTTGCTGGCTGCTTTTGGAAGTGGTGCAGGGCCAGGGCAGGGGTGAGCCTGCCTTAGCTCCGCCACCCAGGAGCCACCTGATGTAAGCAGTGCCCAGTCGGAGCCCACATCCTGAAACCTACCCGTCATGAACCCCTCCTGCACCCCAAACCTGTCCCGAGCACCCTCTTAAGGGTTCTGATGTCAAGGTGCCCCCTCTCCCAACCTGTATCCTATCTCCACAGAGCAGGGCTGGGGGCACAACAGGACTTGGGGTGGGCTTTGCTGGCTGCTTTTGGAAGTGGTGCAGGGCCAGGGCAGGGGTGAGCCTGCCTTAGCTCCGCCACCCAGGAGCCACCTGATGTAAGCAGTGCCCAGTCGGAGCCCACATCCTGAAACCTACCCGTCATGAACCCCTCCTGCACCCCAAACCTGTCCCGAGCACCCTCTTAGAGCCTAGTATCAGAGGGGTAGCCGTGTTAGTCTGAATCTGCAAAAGCGACGAGGAGTCCTGTGGCACCTTATAGACTAACTGAAGTGTAGGAGCATAAGCTTCAGGAGCATATTCCTGCCTCTGGAAATTTCCACTACATGCATCTGACGAAGTGGGTCTTTGCCCATGAAAGCTTATGCTCCTACACTTCAGTTAGTCTCTAAGGTGCCACAGGACTCCTCGTCGCTCCTAGAGCCTGTATCTAGAAAAGTAAAACCCAGAAATGCTCCATTCCAAATGCATCCAAACCGAATGCTCCCCTCCTATCAACACGCTCTTTTCCCCAAAATGAAAATCCTTCAGCAACTGACACATTCTCATTTGACAAATGGGCATCTTCCGGCGCTTGGGGCGGGTGTGTGCAGAAATCGCCTCTGGCAGAATGCAGACCAGGAGCGTTTCCGCCTGCGAGATGAATGGATGTGTCTATAATTTATGAGCTTGCCACACAGGGCCTTTGAATGGAATCTGTTGCCAACTTCAGTGGAGTGGCTGCTGTAACGTGGCTGCACGTGGTGCCGAACCCGGCTGTCAGCTCCATGGGTGCGTGCGTGGCATAGGAATACACTCGTGTCCTGGAAGCAGTTTGTGAGCTCGGTCGGCCCTCGGTGTGCTCCGTGTTGTGTAGCTCCTCCCAGCGCTCTGCTCACAGGTTGCTTTGAACTCCTCGCGTAGAGCCCCTCTCACACGCCAAATCCCTTAATCCAAGACCAGAGCCTGCACCCCAGCCCTCTGCCCCAGCCTGGGGAAAGGGAAGGAGAATGGGGGGAGGGAGTGAGCAGGGGCGGAGCCCCGGAGAAGGGGCACAGAGGAGGCGGAGCCAGGGTAGATCTTGGGCTGCACTTAAATTCACGAAGTG